CCCCTGAGCCCCTGCAGGACCTCCCTTGGCACCCGGGGGGGCTGTGGACAAACACGGAGGCTCCGTGGAAAACCGCCTCCCGGGACGATGCCATCATAAATTCCACACCAGGCAGGTCACCGCGGCAGCCACGCCCCGGCCCGTAACTCGCCCGGGGCCGCCGGGCCTGGGCATCGGTCCTGTGCATCCGGGCTGACGCGTCTTTGAGGGGCAAGAGTCCCCGGAGGGGGAGGGGCGCTGGCTCTCTGCGGAGCCTGCATCTTCTTGTCAACTGTCCCGGCCTCCGGCCCCGCCCCCACGGCCCTTCCTCACGTCCCCTCCCTCGTAGACAAAAGCCACCGACCGTCTCTTCTCTGCTGCACCGGAGAGCTTGCCTCCCTCCCGGCGCGTGTCGGCGGTTTGACTCAAATAAACTCATAAAAATTCTCTCCAGGTTTTGACGCCTCTTCTGTCGCCGCCCGGCCTGGACGAGGAAGCCCACCCCCCTCCCTGGAAGCCCTGGGTGGGCCACCTGGGTCGCCCCAGGGGTGTGGCTCCGGGGCTGCCGAGGCGGCTGGAAGGCCCACACCCCCACGGGGAGGGCCCGGCTTCCTGTGTCCCTTCCTTCCACTTGGCCAGAGGGACGCTGCCCCTGGGGACAGGGGCAGCTCCGTGGCCGCAGACGTGGGGGGAGTCCAGGGCTGAGCTCCGGCCCACCTTCCGCCACACCGTGGGGGTGGTCGCCCCCTCAATGGGGCGGCTCAGTCTGAGTGCCCGGGTCCCCGGCTGCCTGGTTTGCCCGGCGGCCTCAGGGGCAGTGCTCACAGGAGGACACCCTGCCTGGCCACAGAGGGGCGGGGCAGGGGGGGCGGGGGGAGCACGCTGGCCCTCGGGGGAATTCTCCAGGGCACAGGACGCAGCAGGTTGGGTGGGGGGCTGAAGGAGGCCTGGGCCCGGGGAGAGCCCCCCCCACACCCCCACTGTCCCCCTGCCCCAGTCTCAGAGGGAGAGGCAGGTGGCTGGCCTCGAGAACGGAGGGGACACCCCAGCCCAGGTCCCTCCCCGGCGGTGATGGGGAGGACAGTGGTGGCCAGGCAGCTCTGAGGCCCCTCAGCCGGCGGCCCGGACCGGGGATGGCAGGACCGGGAAAGGGGCTGTCGCCCGCAGCTGCGGCAGCCCCAGCCCCAGCCCCAGGGGCTGGCCCCGGGAGCACTGGGGCAGCTGACTGGGTCTGGCCGCCAACTGGACCATGGGTGAGGTGGCCAGGGGGCGGGCAGAGCTGCCGACAGCTGGCATCTCGCGCGCAGCCTGTCCCGCTTAATCTCCCTGGGCCCCCAAGAGCCCGTCATTGTCCCCCGGCACGGATGAGGGGACTGAGGCCCCGAGAGGCAGGGGTGGCCGGAGATCACCAGAGGGGCCGGGCAGGGCCGCCGGGGGAGGGAGGAGGGAGGAGGGAGGGGGACGATCACCTGATCGTGCCTCCCCTTCGCCTCACCTTGGGGGTTCTTCTGGCAGGTCTAGGCCCCTGCTCCTGTCTGGCGGGGGGCTGGGCAACGCCCAGCCTAGAGACCCACATGAGGCCAGGGGACTGGCCACTGTCAGGGGCAGGGTGGCGGGTGGGGCCTCCCCGGGCCTCTGCCCCGTTGGGCCCCCCTTCCCAGCCTGTGACCCGGCGGCTGGGCCGCACATCCAGGGGGTGGTCTCCCGTTGGCCCCAGAGCCCGGGCCCCGTGTCCCCGCCCAGGCCATGTGTGCCCCGGCCCGCCCCGTGGCCCTCACCATCCTCCCGGCCTCCCCCGGGAGTCTGCAGCCCCAGCCCCGGGCCGGGCCCCAGGCATCGGGCCCAGAGGCCTCCCCTCATCTATTTTTAAGCACAAGCCCATGAAAGATTCACAGGCCGCTCTATTTACAGGTGGCCGGACAGCGTCCGCTCCTGGTGGCACCCCTGCCCGGAGGTCTGCATGCACAGGCCCAGCGCAGCGGGCGCCCCAGGGCCCGGCTCTCCCGGCTGCTCCCCCCCAGCCCCCATGCCTGGCTCCCTTCAGTCTCCCCCCGGGAGGTGAATGCCGGGCCAGCGGTGCAGCCATCCTCTGCTGGCCCCCCCACCCGATCTCGTGGGGCTGCCGAGACCCCCTCCCATCCCCGGCTCTCGTCGGGTCTGGCTTTCTCCCAGGCAGGCCTGAAGGGGTCGCGCCCCACGTGCTGGGGTGCGAGAGGCCCAGTTGGAGGGGCCCCGGAGCAGGCCTGGGGACAGGCACCCCTCTCCTCTGGGAGGCTCAGGGGCTGTTGGGCGACCTGGAGACCGAAGCAGACGCTGACTTCCAAGGCCGGGCGCCCCTCCCCCTCCAGCAATGCCACGTGGCGGGTGGGTGGGGGTCCCACACGCGACTTCCAGCGCTGGAGAGCCTCAGGCCCTCCCTCCAGACCCCGACCCACCCAAGAGAAACCCAGACCAAATCCAGGGCCCCGTCCTGGCCCCCCGAGGGGGCGGCCACGGGAGTCAGGCCTGTGGCCTGCTCAGCCTCTGGCCAATCTGCATGCGGGAGCCAGAGCGCCCCATGCCCAGTGGTGTACCCCCCCCTTGGCTGTGGGCTCTCAAGGGCCCCAGGAGGTGGTGCCAGCTCGGCCTCGATTGTGTCACCCGATGCCCATGTGCTCCCTGGCCGGGCCCCAGCAAATACCCTGGAGGGTTCTCAGCTGCTGCCCAGAGCGGGTGGGGCTGACTCGGGGGTGACCGGCGACCTCCTCCTAGGGGGCAGCTGAGGAGACTCGGGGCGCCCTGGGAGGGCCAGCAGGACGGCGTGCGCCCTGCCCACCGAGGCAGCGTGGCGCTTCCTCCAACCGCGTCCTGCAGGGAGATGGGGAGATGGGGTCGGACCGTGCCCTCCCCTTCGTTTCCCGACAGGACGTCGGAGCGACACCGTGACTATTAGTTTCAGATCCGCGACCTCTGACGCCCCCTCCGCCGGCCCCCCTCGGGCCCAGCCCTTCCCCCCCTCCCCCTTGTTGCGAGGGGGAAAGTGGACGATGTCTTTCAACATCTCCCCCAGGGGAGAACGGAACTGGGGAAGGAGGCGGCGTTGGGTAACCGCCTCTCGTCCGTCCGTCTGAGGGCGCAGCAGTGAGGGCAGGACGGGGCGGCCTGTCCTGGCCAGCGCCGGGCGGGCTTCCCGGGGCAGCGGCCATGGGCCCCGGCGACGGGGCAGGCTTCCTCCTGCCACTGTCTGGGTGACTGTCCCTGGGAGCTCCGGTCTCCCGTCTGTAAGATGGGGGTGCACCTGCACTGGAGGAGTCTTTGTCGAGCACCTACTGTGTGCCAGGCATCGACTGTTCTCAGTGCTGGTGACACTCCAGTGAACAGAACAGGCAAAGGCCGGTGGACCGGCCATCCCAGTGGGGGAGGGGAACACACAGACACCCGGGGGTGGGACGAGGGCCTGGGAGTGCAGGGAGGAGTGTGAGGCTGGCCAGGGAAGGGGAGTGGAGGAGTGTGAGGCTGGCCAGGGAAGGGGAGTGAGGGGTGGGTGGGCCCCTTGGGGAGGCGGGGGCAGGGAGCTAAGGGCCCAGCAGGAGGCCTCCAAGTAACACGGCCTCTGCTGCCCTGGGGTTGGTGAGGACTGGATTCCCTACATCCCGGGCGGACCCTCAGGACCTGCAGCCCGAGATGCTGCTACACCTCCTCCCAGAAGCCCACCCTGATCCAGCCTGCACTCCCGCCCTTGCCCAGCTCCCTGCAGAACCACCGGCGGGAGGGCACCCCCCCACATGTCTCCAGAGTCTGTCGACGCGGGGGCCGTAAACCCTCCCGGGGGGTTCTCAGGCCCCCTCTGAGGGGGCAGCAGTATCCTGCCCCGGGAGTGGGAAGAGGGACCAGTGCTTTCTCTAAGCGGATACAAAATCGTGGTCTGGTGGGTGGCAGAGGCTGATGCAGGGAAGGCCAGGAAGGTGTTCTTGCACAGTGCCCTCAGGTGCGGGGCCCAGGCGTGAGGCTCCACTCCTCTGAGCGGCTGAGAACTTGGGGAGCTCCTAGCCTCTCGGGGTCCTGCCCCTCCGAGGGCCAGAGGTGCCCGCTCATCTCAAGAGTTTGGGTTTTGCATTTGTCAGAGGAAACCGAGAGGTGGGGGGAGGGGTCATCGGGGATTCACTTAAGCAACAGGTCCCCTCCGAATCTGAGAGCAGGGAGAGGCCAGTGATATCCCTGCTGACGCCCTCAGGCCCGGAGTGGGGGGGGGGGCACTTCCGAGCGGCCGCAAACACAGCCCCCACCCCCAGGTGGGGAGCACGTGGGCAGGAAGGAAGCTCAGCGTTACACACTCAGATCGGTCCCCGAGGCAGGTCCCCACAAAGGTCTGGAACACCCTGGCAGGGCCCCTCCTTCCCCGCCCCTAGCCAGTGCCACCTGCCCGTTGTCCTGCCGGGCTGGCCGGGCGCCCCGCTGATGTGAACACAGTCGCCTGATATCTGCCGCTGGCCCCGGACCAGGAGTAGCCGGGTGACACTGTTCCTGACACCCAATGCCGGCACCAAAAGCCCCGCCCAGAAAAACGCCCCATTCCTGCTGCCCCTTTCGGGTGCTGCCCACCAAGACCCCCAGGGCGAGTGGCCTAAAGGGTTGCCTGAGGGGACCCGGGGTGGGGGCAGGCTGCCTGTCCAGATGGCCGTTGGTCACTCCAGTGTGTTTCAAGGGACCATTTGTTTGGCCACGGGAGTGGCATGGGCGGCTGCGTCCTTGGGCCGCCTTTGGAACTGTGGTCTGGGCTCAGGCGCAACGGTGGTGGTGGGCGGAGGGGAACAGGGGGCAGGGGAGGAGGCCTGGACTGGGGGGGCGCGGAGCGGGAGCTCCAGCGACCCCGCGGCCGGGATGCAGGGCTTCGAGGGGGGTGCGGCGGAGGAGGCTAGGTGCCCCGGCGGCGGCGTAAAGGGGGCGAGTCGCGGGGCGGGGCCGTGCGGATGACACTGAGTAGGGCGGGCTGGGCCTTGGGATGGGGGCGGCGCCCGAGCGAGGTGACTCGGTGGCCGAGGGAGTCGCGCGGGTTGCGCCGCACCTAGCCGCTTCCCTGGCGCGCGCGCTCTCTCCACCCCGCGCCGCCCCGCCCCTCGGTCCTCGCAATAAGGGGCGCGGGCGGGGCGGGGACGAAGGGGAGCCGCCGCCAGTCCGCGGGTTTGCGTCGCGCCCGCGGCGGGAGCTCAGGCTGGGAGCCCGAGGCCAGTGCCGTCTGGGCCCCGAGGGCGCCGTCGCCCGGCGCCGATCCGGCCATGGAGTTCTGGCCGTGGCTGACGGCGGCGCTACTGCTGCTGCTGCTACTCGTGCAGCTGAACCGCACCGCCAAGTTCTACGCCAAGATCTCCTTGTACTGCGCGCTGTGCTTCTCGGTCTCCATGGTGGCCGCTGCTGTCTGCCTGCTGCGCCACGGCGGCCGGACGGTGGAGAACATGAGGCAAGCGGGCGGGCCGGGCTGGGGAGCGCCGGGGAGCGCCGGGGAGCGCCGGGCCGGGTCGGGGAGGGCTGGGGAGGGCTGGGGAGCGCCGGGCGCCGCCTGCTTCCGCTTCCCCAACTTTCTTCTCTCCTTTCCCTCCTTCCTGCCCCGCCCGCGCCTCTCTCCGGCTCCGGGACCAGCGCGCGAGGGGAGCGCGTGGCTGGGGAGGCGAGCGAGGAGGGGCAGGGATCCCAGGGAATCGGCGTCACAATGTCCCCGGCCCCGGGCGGGGACGGGGAGCAGGCGCGGACGGATTTAAACAGGTCGCGGCCTCCGGCGCCACAGCGTCCCTGAGTCCTGTGGGGGGCGCGCTCGGTGCGGGGTCCCGGGCTGAGGGTGGCGCCCGCCGCTCTTTGGGAGGAAGGGGCCTGGGCCACGCCAGGAGAGGCTCCGACCTGCTTCCCCGCGGGGCAGCGAGGCCCAGGCGGCGCAGCACCGCCCCCGCCTGGACCCGGAGCTCTGGGGCGCCGGCTGGCCCTCTCCTCTCCACCCCTCCTCCCACCTGCTCGGCAGGTGATGAACACTTCAGGTCCCAGGCTCCCGGCAGGTTCCTCCTTCCATTTCCTTCCTCCGCTCGGGAAGGTGGGGGTCTCCGCGATGGAGTCCAGCTTCAGCCCAGGTGCAGGAAGGGGGTGGTGGCTGCAATTTTCCTCCGGACACTTTGCAGACCCGGCGACCGGCGGTTGTGCCGGGGGGGGGGTCCGGTGCTGCGTGGGGACTCAGGTCCGGCCGGCTAGAGGACCTGACGACCTCTCTGGGTCAGAGGCTGGAGGGGCTGCTGGACAGGGGGCTCCTTCTCGCCCTTTCTCCCCGTTTCTGCGGCAGGACACGGCTGTTGCTGACCTTTCTCTGTGGGTTTTGCAATAGTCTGGTGGTGCCTGTGGCCTGGTGAGGGGACCCTGGCACGAGCCCCCTCCCGGACTTCCCGTGCTTCCGGGGCAGTGGGTGAGGGCTCCTGGCCTCCTCCGCCTCTGCCCTGGCCAGGGCGGGCTGCTGCCCCGGACCGGCCCACACTACTGCCTGGGTCCCCAGGCCCTGTCTTCAGGCGGTGGTGCCTCCCCGCCCCCACCCCACACACAGACTGAAATGGCTGGAGTGTCCGGGGCCCAGGTGAGGCCCTTTCAGGCGAGGCCCCCCCCCACCCCCGCCCCATGTCCTCTGGGGAGGGAAGGAAGGGACTGCTTCCAGAAATAGTATTTCCCCCTGGGTCCCCGGCCCCCCCGGGCGGGGTTGCCCCAGGCTGTGCTTAAGTTTGCAGGCGGGGCTGAGACGGAGGGCCTGGGGCCCTCAGGGAGTCCCCACCTGCAGAGTGACAGCAGATCTTGGAGGTGACCCTCCCCGCCCCTCCCCCACCCTGGGTCATCAGGTGACCTTTCTGTGAGCGCTTCCCTGTCTTTTGAACGGCCCCACCGGCCCTCGCCGGTGGCGCCGCCTCGCTGGGGTTGAGTCAGGAGTCGCCGACCTAGTGGCTGGGCCTGGCCTACCCCTGCGGCCCGGGGCTCTCCCCAGCCCTGGGGCCTGGTGTGCAGGTGTCCTGCTGGGGCCCCTGACGCCCTGATGGTGCCCCTCCCCCCTCCCCGGGGCAGCCCCCAGACCCAGTGTCTGCGGAGGGGCCCCTGCAGCACGTAACAGCAGGCGCCCCGTTCTCTCCAGGGCGGAGGTGGGGTGGGGGCGCCCAGACCCCCACAGCCGGGGCCCCCAGCCCCCACGGGGCGGGCCACAGCGACGGCTCCCCAGCACTGGTCAGGGTGGGGTGACTGTGCGCGTGGGCTTCCAGGGGTGCGGCCAGCCGTGGGGGCAGAGGAGGAGGAGGTGCTGGGTCGCTCTAGGCGGCTGGTCCGGGTCGGGACCGGGAGGACGGAGGCCGAGGAGGGGGCGGCGGTGAGTGACAGGGTGTGCACCTCATCTCGGGCCCCTACCGGGCTGGACCCCCAAGTCTGCCCAGTGAGCCCCGGAGCCCCGCTCCGCACCCCGGGGGCCTGGCCGTCTCCGGCCCCACCCTGCCTCCCGAAGGGCCCTCCCGCTGCGGCCGCAGAAGCCCCGACCCCGGGGGCGGACTGCGTGTGTTCCCTGGTGCAGACGAGGAGTCTGAGGGTCAGAGGAGCAGCGAGAAACTAGGGCCTTGGGGAGGGAGAGGGAGGGGTGGCCGGGCCCCGGAGCTGGGAGGGGCCGTGGCAGAACCAAGGAGTGGACAGCGGCTCCAGGACGCATGCTTTTCCCTGCCGCCCATCACCAGGGGCCAGGGCGGTGCGGCGGGGCTGGCGACCAGGCTTTGGGGAAGCCCTGAGCTCTTGGTGGGAGGCACCCCCGCTCTGCCTGCCCCCCACTTTCCATCCCCCACCCCCAGCAAGGGCCCCTCCCCGTGCGACTCTGGGTGGGCACCCAAGGGGGCGTTTGCCGTCTAGACCGGACTTCGGAGTGGGCCTGGGAGCGGACGGGCGGAGGCTGACTCTGTCCTGACCGGGCTGGGGGCCGAGACCACCGAGGACCCGCGCGGGCTGGTGCTGCCCCGGGTGCGGCGCTGGGGCTGGGCAGCGAGTCCCTTTCCGGGAGACAGATGCCCTCGTCCCACCTGTCTGGCAGAGAGGGCGGTGAAGTCCAGGGGAGCTGGGTGAGTGTGAGGGTGGGGCTCCGCTGCGGGGCCGTGAAACCCCAGTGCAGTGACGGCGGCTTAACCAGGGTTTGCGTTTCCACGCAACCAAGTGGACCACAGCTGCGCGGCTCGGGGCCACCGAGAGCTGCTGGCTCCTCTGTCCCGTGGCCCCATTGTTCCCAGTGTCCAGCAGGCCACCGTCGGGGCAGGACCTCCAGAGACCGACCCACATGTTTCCACATCCGTCCTGTGGCCAGGGCAGTGTGGCCTTTAGCTGCAAGGGAGGCGGGGCAGCGAGGCCCTCGGTCTGTGTGCACTGCGCCTGCGCCAAACGTCGGGGAGCGGGGAACGGGCCACTGGGGCCAGGGGACTTGCTGGTGCTGGTCTGGGTTTAAGTCTGGAAGGGCCAGCTCCTCGCCAGTGCTGCCAGCAATGTGCAGTCCTGGGTTGGGGGGGGGGGGTGCATGGGGGCTGACCTGGGGCCCCAGAACTGAGGGGAGGCCCCCTCTTGTCCTGCTGGGACAAACTGTCCCCTGGGCTCAGAAACCAGAGCTCCCCCCAGCGTTTGGCCCTGGAGACTTGCTCCTTCATGAGGCTGAGGGGGTCTCCCCGGGTCCACCCCGCTCCTGCACGCCCCCTCTTAGCGCCTCTGGGGTGTCTGCGCAGGCGGGGAGCCCCTGTCCCAACCCCTGGCTCCTGTCCCCTTCCTGGGCTCCAGCTCCTGTGACACCTGGTGGAACACACCGCTCCTCAGCCAGGTGGCTTCCCTGGGGCACCCGAGGGCCCTCTGTGCTGCCTCCTGACGGGGCCGCCCCCGAGGGAGCCCCACCGCGTCCCTTGCTCTGTGGGGTCTGGCCTGGGGACTGCCACAGCTCGTCCGAGACGGCCGCCCGGGTCTCCCCGGGCCACCCAGCCCGCGTGTCCAGGGGCTGAGGGCAAAGGTCGGCAGGTCGCCTGGCCTAGCCTTGAACTGTCTGCTGGCTCCCGGGAGCAGGGGCCGGGCAGGCCTGGGCTGGCCAAGGCGGGGGCGGGTCTGCTCTCACTCGCCCTGGGTCCTTTTGTGTCCTTGCCGTCACAGCCACTCCCTGTGCGGACTCCCAGGCCCCTGCAGTTTCCACGGGCGCCCCGGCCTCCTCACGCTCGGCCCCGCTACGCCCTCCCCATTCCACAGGCGGGGACGGGAGCTTAGGGAGGTCCAGCGCGTTGTCCCAGGGTCGCACCCGGTGGGAAGGGCGTCAGGACCCGCAGGCGGTCCGTCTGACCCAGAGCTGGAGAGCGGCCCAGGTGTCCTGGGGCCGAGCACAGGTGGTCCGAGGCGGCCGGCCGCCAGGAGCCCGGTCTGGGCTCCCGCGGGCCCAGATGACTGTGGTGTGCGTGGTGCTGGTCCGCGGTTGCGGGAAGGGCTCCCGAGAGGGCGCCAGGCGGGCCAGGGCATCCCCTCTGCTCGAAGAGCCGGCCACTCGCGCAGGTGGTTGCAAGGGGCCTGCTCCGCGGGGCACCTGCCCTGCCGTGGAGAGCTCACGCCCATCACCTGGGCCTCAGGCGACCTTGGCGTCACCCCCAGCGGCCTCCCCTGCAGGGTCATGGAGTTGGGGGCTGAAGAGTGTGGGACAGCGACCAGGGCTGTCTGGCCATGTCCCAGGGCCAGCCCTGCTGACACCTGCCCCCAGCTTCTGGGCCGCCGAGGGCTGACCCTCAGGATGGGGCCTGGGCTGGGCCGGGGCAGCCAGGGCGTGACAGTTGCTTCTAGGCTCTGGGGAGGTGAGGGGACAGAGCCACTTCTGTCTGGCCCTGCTGGCAGGCCGGGCGGGGCCCCAGGGGAGGGGGCAGGGGGGGCAGGCTCAGAGGGCCTGGAGTTTTGCAATGCTGAGCCTCTCCCCTGCCCCCAGCCGGCCCACCCTCAGCCTGGCACCCGGCACACTCTTCATGCCAGGGTTCGACGTGGTTCCAGCCCCCTGCTGGGTGACCTCGGGGCAGTCCCTGAACTCCTCGGAGCCCCACCTTCCTCGCCTGCAGGGTGGACACACTGCGTGTGCGGACACACTCCGTGGGGTCATTGCCTGAGCTCAGGCGGAGCCCTTGGTGCGGTGCTCGGCGCACAGTGGGTGTTCAACGGGGTCGGCCGAGGGGGGTGTCCCTGCCCCCCGGCGTTCTCTGCCCTGCGCCCAGTGCCCGCGGGCACACAGGCGGGCACCCACACAGCCGGGCTTGCACAGGCAGGCGCCCGCAGAGCCGGGCTTGCGTCCCGGTCTTCGAGGAAACACGGGCAGACCGCGGCGGCGGCGCACAGTTCCCCACACGGTCACAGAAAACCCTGAAGGCGGGGGCGGGGGGACGCCGGGAGAGGGGAAACTGGGGGAACAGCCTGTCCCCGAGGACACCCCGGGCCTGACCCACTCCTAGGACGTGCCGTTCTGGGGAAGCGCCCCGCGGCCACGCCGGCCAGGGCGTGTTTTAGTTCCGTGTGGGCACAGTTCTCTGCAAAAGCGTCGAGAGCGTGTTCCGGGGGGAACCCCGCCCCTGTCTCCTGCAGCCCCGCTGTCTGGCCGGCTGTGTCCCTCCCGAGCCGTGGGTCCCGCCGGCCCGGCCTCGCCAGGCTGCCCGGCCCTGGCGGGGACCTGGGGATCGGTGTAGCAGAGAGGGCTCTGCTGCGCTCTGCTGGCGGAGCTCGGCACACGGCGTCTTTCCTCGTTGGAAACGGTGGTGGCAGGCAGGCAGGCAGGCAGGCAGGCAGCGCCTGCCCCGGACACTGACTGAAAGCAAGTCCTGGAGAGGGTGGCGGCGGCGCGGGCCACACGGCCATGCGGGTGCCCCTAATGCCACTGGGCTGGGCTGGGTGCTCGAAAATGGTGGAAGTGATAATAGTGTTTTAGACCACAATAAAGTTTTCTTTTTTCTTTTTTCTTAAAGATTTTATTTATTTATTTTTAGAGAGAGAAGGGAGGGAGAAAGAGAGAGAGAGAGAGAAACATCAATGTGCGGTTGCTGGGGGCCGTGGCCTGCAACCCAGGCATGTGCCCTGACTGGGAATCGAACCTGCGACACTTTGGTTCGCAGCCCGCGCTCCATCCACTGAGCTATGCCAGCCAGGGCTAGCTTTCTTTTAACTTATTGATTTGAGAGGGAGACAGGGAAAAAGAGGGACAGAAAGAAGCACCGATTGGTTGTCCCCCTTGTTGATGCTCGTACTCATTGGCTGATGCTCGTACCTGCCCTGACCAGGGATCACACCCACAACCCTGGTGCGTCAGAATGACACTGCAACCCACCGAGCTACCCTGCCCGGGCTTTACCACAGTATAAAAACAGGAGGGAAAAAACAACAGCAGCAAATGCTACTGCCCCGGGGACGCCACCGTCATCCCCTGGGTGGCCTGAGTGGCCCCGTGCCGCTGGGTGCGGAGAGCAGGCCAGCGGCCCCACCGGAAGTCACGGGGTCAGGGGTCGGGAGCTCCTGCTGTAATAATAAACGCAGGTCTGCTCTGTCGGTGTCCCTGGCCGCCTCGGGCTGTGACGCTGACCCTGGTTCATTGCCCTGCTCCCTCCTGGGGCGCTGGTGCTTCCGGATTTTCCTGACCTGGGCCACACCTGAGTCCAGCTGCCCGCCCCCCTTCCTGCCCCCGCCCCGGGCGGCCCCCCTCCCGGTGACCCCCCGAGAGGCCGTTCCGGGTCACGGGGACTCGGCCCCAGCGCTGCTGCCGCCAACCCGCCCTGCGGCGGCCGCCGCCTCCGCCCGTGTCCACACGCCTCCCCTGACAGCCTGTTATCTGTGCTGATCGGGAGGTGGAGAAAAAGGCGTTTGGTTTTGTTTTTTTTTAATCTTCACCTGAGGATATGTTTTTATTGATTTTTAGAGAGGGAGGAAGGGAGAAAGAGAGAGAAACATTGATCGGCTGCCTGCCACAGGCATCCCGACCGGGGATCGAACCCGCAGCCTCTAGGCATGGGCCCTGCCTGGGGATGGAACCCGCAACCCTCTGGTGCTGGGAGGACGTCCCAACTGACCGAGCCCCGTGGCCAGGGCAGGGCGTTCTTGTTTGGGTGGGCGTTTCTCCTGCTGCCTGTGAGGCGGGGCTTTTTCTGTGCGTGTTGGACTTGACGTTTTTCTTCTCGCGAGTTGCCTGCTTGCGTCCTCCCCTTCCTTGTCCCCTGTGGTCCTCGCGGGGCCCGAGAAGCAGAGAGAAAATAGGCTCCGGAGGATGGAGCAGGGCAGCTCCCCAGTGGCCATGCAGGCGGCAGCTGGCCCGGCCCCTCGAGTCCGGCCCGGACGGCACCGCCCAGGGCCACCTGCGGCGCCTTCCTGAGCCTGGGCGTCCCCGCCTGCAGCGCAGGGCGACGGGGACTGCCTGCCCTCCCCCCTGGAGTTAGGCTCCAAGAGAGATGCGGCCGGTTAGGGGTCTGCCTTTCAGACACAGGATGGTCCTGCCAGGCCCCACTTCCACTCGGTCCCTGCAGGAGGGAGGCGGACCCGCAGGGACAGGGAGCCCACGGTGGGGCCGGGGCTGGGGCAGGGGTGGGAGTGGGGGTTCCATGGGGACCGAGCGTCCGTGTGGGAAGACGGACCGTCCTGGAGAGGACGGTGGCGGCGGAGGCTGCACAGCGGTGGGACTGTCCCTGCTGTCGCCGAGCCGTGTGCGCCCCGAGCTGGGGTGGGGAAACCCTTCCATCCCGCAGGGACTGACTGCCGTAGACGTGGGGGCTGGGGAGCAGGTGTCTCCCGGAATCTCCTGGGAGACCTGTGGTAGGGACCCTTGGGTGAGTGGGTGGCAGACCCCTAGCCCCCTGCTGCCCACAGGAGGACCCTGGGGCCCTGCAGGGGGCCGCAGAGCAGTGAGCTCGAACCCCAGCGCTGGCAGCCCCTGAGGCTGACCCCCGCAGGGCACCTGTCCTGTCCCAGGTGTCAGCGAAGAGGCCACAGAACAGGGGCCAAGGTGGCCCTTCCTCCTGGCACCCTCTGCACCCAGCCAGCCGTCAGCTGACCCAGCTCTGTGGGCAGGTGGAGGACAGAAGCCCCCCGGCCGTGCCAGTAGGCCCCTCGCACCCCCCGGGGCAGCCTCCTGGGGCTCGGCTGGGGGTCTGTGGGTACCCCGACCCCACAGCAGCGTCTCCTGTGACCTGCCGGGCCCAGGGCTTCCTCTGTGAGAAGGGACAGGGGTCCTGCCCTGCAGGCGGTGGGGGGAGGTGGTGGGAAGGGCCAGGGGCACGGCCTGGGTGCCCCCCTCGGCGCTGGGTCCCCATCATTCCGGAAGCAGCTTGACCGCCTGGCCCAGGTCTCCACTCAGTACCTGCGCTCATTTCCTGGCGGGGCACTGCCTCGAGGGGGCGGTCACACCCCTGCCTGGGTCTCCTTCCCTGGAGGGGGTGGGCGGGGCCTGGCCCTCGATGGTTGGGCGCCTCTTTCCCCCGGCGGGTCCTTCTGTCGCTGACTCGGCCGGGAACCGGACCCAGCCTGTTCCCGGAGCTCTCGGCCTCCGGCCCCCTTCCTACGGGGTCCCCGCCTGGCTGCACACGCAGGGGTGCGGGCTGAGGGCCCGGCGGGTGACAAGGGCGGGCCCCTGGAATGTGGGTGGGGAAGCGGGGGCTGCAGCGGCTGGAGGCAGGGCGTCCCTCGGCGACCCCACAAGGGGCAGGACCTGAGGGCTCTGGAGGGCCGGTGAGCCAGGGCCGCGTGGCCAGCCCCCGGGGAGAGTGAGTGGGGGGGTCTCCCTGCTGCTCCACCACGCCCCTCCCCAGGGCCCCAGGGGCCTCCGCTCACTGGCACCGTCTCTTCTGCAGCATCATCAGCTGGTTCGTCCGGTCCTTCAAGTACCTGTACGGCCTTCGCTTTGAAGTCAAGGGCCGCCAGAAGCTGGCGGTGGACCACCCCTGTGTCATCATCTCCAACCACCAGAGCATCCTGGACATGATGGGTAGGCCAAGGGCCGGCGGGTCTGGGCCGGTAGGGGGGTGGGGCGCCCTGGGGGGCAGCGAGGAGGGCCGCCCCAGGCCAGGGAAGCTGGGCCTCCTTCCAGCTTCCTGCCGCGGCCGCGTGTGTCATCGGCCCCGCGCTCACCGAAAGCCGGGAGCTCTGCTCAGCTCCCCTGCGGGTGGGAAGGAGCTCGGGCCCGAGGACTCGCCCAGGCAGGCAGCTGTCTCGGGAAGATGCTGCCCCGCCCCGGCCGGTGGGCGGGGAGGGCCCAGGGAGCCGCGGACCCCGGGCTCTGAGCCCCCTGCCTCCCCGGCCCCTCCCACCACAGGCCTCATGGAGATCCTCCCCGAGCGCTGCGTGCAGATCGCCAAGCGCGAGCTGCTCTTCACGGGGCCCGTGGGCCTGATCATGTACCTCGGGGGCGTCTTCTTCATCAACCGGCAGCGCTCGCGCACGGCCATGACCGTGATGGCCGAAGTGGGCGAGCGCATGACCCAGGAGAAGGTGAGTGTGTGCGTGTGGGAGGGGCGGGGCCGGGGGCGGGGCGCTCCCACGGTGAGCGGGGGCGGGCTCCTGCGGAGGCCGCGTGCCGCGGCCCCCGGCCCCACTCCCGCCTCTCACTTCCCCTGCAGCTGAAAGTGTGGATCTACCCCGAGGGCACACGGAACGACAACGGGGACCTGCTGCCTTTCAAGAAAGGCGCCTTCTACCTGGCCGTCCAGTCCCAGGTGCGCAGGGGCCGCGCCCTCCTGGGGCTGCTGCGGGGGCGGGGGGGGGGTCAAGGAAGCCGGTCCAAGCTGGCTTAAGGCTGCGCGAGGGTGACTGCCCGCTGGGGCTGCGGCGGGGAGCACGCAGGGGCCGGCCTCTCCTGGACGGACGGGGGGCAGGGCATCACGCCCCCCACGCCCCCCACACCGCCACGCGCTGCGCGCTAAGGAGGCGCCTGCTCTGGCGCGGGGAGGGGCCGGGAGGGGCCCCGAGCGAGCCGGGTTGCAGACGAGGAAGCAGCGGAAGGCCCGCCGGCTGAGTGCGCCTTCGCCCCCGCACTCCTGGCTGGGGTGGGTCTGGAGTGGGCAGTGGGCGTGGGCCAGCTGGGCCTGAGGCGGGGGCGGGGCCTGGGTGGGGCCTCACACCCCCCTGCTCCTGGGCCTCTGGGATACAGCTCGTCCCAGAGGGGCCTTGGGGCCTGCGGTGGGTGATGCAGTAGAGGCGGAGGGTACATCTGTCCCTGAGTGAGGGGACCCCTTGGTGGGCGAAGGGTACCCTGTCCCACCCCCGGCCCTGTGTGGTGGGGGTTCTTACAGGGAGACCCCGGGGTCCAGGGAGTCCGTGGGGGTGGCAGCCTTTCTCCCGCTTCCACCTGCGACAGGCGGCCTCTAGCGCCCCCTAGCCATGGCCCTGAGCAAGGCCCGGGAGCCTTCCTGCCAGAGGCCCCAGCAAATGTCCTAGGGGTGCAGACCCCGCCGCGTGCCCCAGGCTGACGTCACTTCCTCTGCTGGTGGTGTGGGGGAGGGGCCCACCCCCTGTGGGAGAAGAGGGGGCAGTGGCGGGGCAGCAGCAGCAGCTTCAGCCAGGAGACGACGTCATTCGCTGTCACGGCCCGTGCCCCACCCTCCATCCCCCTGCAGGGCCCTCTGGACCGTACCCTCTCTGGGTTCTTAGGCTGCCTCCCCTCCCCTGCTGGCCCTGGGGAGAGGCTCCCCAGCTGCAGGGTTAATGATTATCCCAGGCAGCACTTCCAACCTTGCAGTCACCATTGGACTTGACCCTGGCGTTTTTCAGGAAGGTCAGCGGGCCCTGCCCCCTCCCCCGGCTGATTCTGCCCCCAGCCTTCTGGGGACGGAGGATGGCCTCTCCCAGCTACACTGGACAGGGTCCTGCCCCCCAGGTCATCGGGGTCCTGCCCTCCAAGGTGATCTTAGGACCCAGTGGGGGGCACAGATGTGAATCGGATGGATATATGCCAACCTAGGAAGGCTTCCTGGAGGAGGTGATGCTTGACTGAAGGTATACAGGATGAGTTTGTGGCCCTCCGGGCCACCTGGAGGGTTAGCGTGTGGAAGGGCCCTGAGGTCGGACACGGCGCCTGTCTGGCAGCCACAGGTGCTGGGGGCAACCCCAAGGTGAGGCCGGCGGCGGGAAGGCAGGGCTCCCCCACGAGCCCACCCTGGGGCGGGGCGGCCTGGCGGCGGCTCCGGTCATCCTCAGGCTGCCCTGGTCTCGTGCACAGGTGCCCATCATCCCCGTGGTGTACTCCAGCTTCTCCTCCTTCTACAACCCCAGGACGAAGAGCTTCACCTCAGGTAACGCCAGGCACACGCGGCCCAGGCCCCTCGGGAGTGCAGTCCCCATTCCTGGGGGTTACTAAAGGTCCGGCCCCTGCCACAGTGACCACTCGGGGGAGGGGGGAGGGAGGGACCCAGAGCCTCGGCCAGGGGCCCAGGTGAGTGGTCACGGGCCGTTTCCTGAGTAAGGAAACGGAGGCCCCAGGGGTGGGCTGCGTCCCTGAGTCCGCACACACAGGTCCGGCTGCCCACGGCGCGGGGGCCCGAGGCAGACGCAGCTCCAGTGCCAGGGGGGTCGTGAGCCCGGGCATCCGGGCCCAGCTCACGGGAGCAGCAGCCTCCCAGGCACCCCCACTCCCATGGGCCCCAGAGCTCGAGACCCCTGCCCTTCCCTCCAGGTGTTACCCTGGGGCTCAGGTGCCAAGGTGGGGCCCAAGGTTGAAAGGTGGCAGGGGAGGGGCCAGGAGGACATTTCCTGGGGGGGGGTGCTCGGTGGGGGGTCGCAGTCCTCCCAGCCCCGAGTGTGTACTTAGGAGCCGAGTGTGAGTGGAAACCGGCCACCCCGGCGGGCCGGGTGTCCCGGGAGGAAGCCGGCTGGCTGGGACCCCGGGAGGGGGTGCTCCTCAGGGAAGGCTGGGCCCCCTGGGCCGGAGGAGAGGGGCTTCTGCGGGCAGAGGAGGAAGGAGAGGGTACAGCGTGGGAGCCAGGGCGGCAGGCACGGGTGGGGTGCCTGGCCCCGGGCCACTGACCCCCACCCACCCCCGCCGCAGGAACCATCAAGGTGGAGATCCTGGACGCCATCCCCACCAGCGGCCTCACCGTCGACGACATCCCCCAGCTCATGGACACCTGCCACAAAGCCATGCGGACCACCTTCTTCCACTTGTCCAGCACGCCCCAGGAGAACGGGGCCGCCGCGGGGCCTGGCGCCCAGCCCGCCCAGTAGCCCAGGCCTGTGGCGGGCAGGACCCGGAGGGGCGGGCCCAGGGCGTGGCTAGAGGATGGACAGAGGGACCGCGCCGTGCCCCGTCCCGGCTGCCAGATGTCACTGTGGCCCACTCCCGCGGCTCCCCCTGGAAGCAGGGGGCCTCTTCCTGTCACCGGCCTCGGATGCAGGCTGTCCCGCTGAGGTCACTGCAGAGTCATCCAGAGCCTCCCCAGGCTGAGGGCAGGGCCTCGTCCACCCTGCACCTCGGAACCGGGTGCCGGAGCAGGCCTGGGGCCCTGGACTCTCCCGCTGGGCCTCCCAGCCCGGCCTGCATCAGGCTGCCAGGGAGGGGCGGGCTCCGGCAGCCCGGTCCACGCCCTCAGTGCCAGTGCTGCACATGGTTGTTTTTTATAAACAGACTCTGAGACGTGCTCGGTGCGCTGTTGTCGCTCAGAGGGTGGGCGGCACCTGGGGGTCTTTAGGCTGCCCACACCTCCTCCCCAGGACGTAGTGTGGGAGCCCCTGACGCCCCCAACCCCCAGCGTCCCCTCCCTGGGGGGCTCGGCCCATGGTCACGCCACGATGCTTCTCTCAAACAGGTGAGGCGGGAGGGGCGCAGGCGTGCCCGGGGTCCTGCACACACTAGGGAAGGAGGCTGAAGATTTGCTCTGTGGCCTTGGGCCCGGGGCGGGGCCGCCGTGTCACCAGGAGGAAGCTGTCCTCGGCCAGTGTCGCTTCCCCAGAAGCCACCTGCTGTGGCCCCTTTTGGAGGGGGGGACCAAGACCCTGCCTAGGAGCACCCGGGGGGCTGGAGGCCTCTCCTGGTGCTGTGGCTGCCCCCCCCCCGCCCCCTTCTCCCACTGGCTTGCTTATGGTGGGGGGCCTGGGGGAGGCCCCTGCCAGCCCCCGAGGGCCCAGCACAATCCGCCCACGGACACAGCAGCTCTCCAGGTCTCGTTTTATTCTGACGAAGATCGGGGATGGGGCTCCCCCGGGCCCCGGGCTGGGAGCTGTCGTACCGCCCCTCGGCCACAGCCCGCCAGGCCCAGGGGGCTGGCCCGGGTGCAGGGGCCGGATTCACACGGGACAGCCCCTCCACCCACCCCGCCCTGTTTCTTCTGTGAGGTTGGGGGGCACGCAGGCCCGTCACAGCTCCTTCTTGCAGGAACCTGTGGGGGGATGGGGGCTGAGGTCAGAGGTCACGGCTCCCACCACCTTCCAGTCCAGCCAGAGGTGTGCCCCTGAGCCTGTGGTGCCTGCCCGCCCTCTGGCCTCTCCGGGTGAGGACTGGCCCGGCTGGCGTGGGTGCAGGCTCCCATGGAGGGGGGTGCGTTGGGGGGGCGGTGGGCAAGGGGCCGGGCACTCACAGGACCCCAGCTGCTCCTCCAGGAAGGAGATCTGCTCGCTCAGCGAGTCGATGCGGTCCAGCTGCCGCAGGGAGTGGGCCAGGAGGCTGCCGGGGTCGGGGAGCCCCTGCTCCAGCGCCCGCGAGGCCAGGCTGTGCAGGGGGGCCAGCACCAGCTGCAGCTTCTGTGGGGCGGCAGGGGCAGCGTGGGCTAGGGCCGGCCACTGTCCCAACAAGCTTTTAAGGAAACCGCTGTGGCCAGCAAGGGCTCCCCCAAACCCGACCCAGCTCTAGCTGCAGGACCCTGGGTGGCCACCAGAGGGAGCTTCTGCTCCAGGAGAGCCAGAGGCCAGGGGACACAGACCTGGCCCGTGGGCCCCCAGGACTGGAGCGTCTCAAGGGTCCTCAGGCCAATGGCCCTGTGCAAAGGCCCACAGGGGCACTGTGTCCCCTCAGAGACAAAGGCGGGGTGGGCTGCACCTGGATTCAGGTTCTCCGTGTGGCCAGAGGGGACAGGGCTGAGCTCAGACCCTATTTTCGTGGGGTCCCAGCCATCCCCCGCTGCCCCTGCCCGGGATGGAACCCAGGGCACCCTGGGCTGTCAGCACCGAGGAAGCCTCCCCCAGGGACCCCCCGAACCCCACAGCCGACAGGAGACAACGGAGGGGGCCAGGCTGAGGCCCCCAGTCCCCAGCCCAGGCCTCACCTGCTCCAGGACATCCACCCGAGACCGGAGTCTCTGCACCTCCTCCTCCACCACGCCGTCCACACCTGGGGAGACCTGGCGCTGAGTTGGGGGGGTCCGGCCAGCACCCCCGCCCCAGGCTGGCCTCCGCCCTCCCCTCATCCCGGGACCCGCCATCCAGCAGGGGCGGCCTGGAGGTCGGGGATGGTGGCCTGGCCAGCTCAGTGCACCCCGGTTCGCACCGTGGGCAGATGCAGTCCCGCCCCCCCATCCCCCTGGGCACGGAGTCCCTGCCGCCCTCAGGGGAGGTCCCCGCCGCGCCGAGGCGTCCCTGCCGAGGTCCACGCTGTGCTCCTGGTCGCTGGGCTGCCGACGGCGCATTATTACTCACGGTACGAGTTTGAAGTGTCACAGCGCGTACCAAAAGTAATAATGTGCCGTCGCCAGCGGAGGTGCGTCGTCTGCAGGCTGCCGGGCGGGGACACGGCCCTCCCCGCGGTGGCTGAGCATGCCCCACACCCCCAGTCCTGCAGCCCTCCTCTGAGGAAGGGCCCCCTGCTGCCCAGGTCAGGGAGAGGCCCCCCGGTGCCCCCCCTGGGCCCCGCACCCAGGGCCCCCTCATTGCCCGAGCCCTGAGTGCAGCAGCACGTGGGGAGTTTACCTTCGTCAGGGTTCGGGGCCACCCCGGGGGTCCCTCTCCTGGGCGGGCTTAGCTTCCCGCCGGCGGACGGGCCGTGCCCCTCAGGGCACCGGCACCAGCCACTACCCACGGTGTTGGCACAGCGGTGGGGACAGCCGCCCCCTCCGGCCCCGTGTCCATCCACATCTGCGGGGAGACGGGTGTCAGGGCCCTCACGGAACCCCCTCGAGATGGACCTGTCCCAGGGCCAGGGCGGCACCCAGCCTCACCTGTCTGGCAGGTGTCGCCCCGCCATCCTGCGGGGCAGTGGCAACGGCCCGGCTGGACACAGCTCCCTCCGTTTTGGCACGGTGGCTGGCATATCGCTGCGGGAGGCAGAGGTCTGTCACCTGTACGTGAAGGTCCCCAGGGGGTGGCAGCCAGGAAAGGGGTGGCATGGGGCAAAGAGGCGCTGGGCTTGGGGTTCAAGAGGCAACCAGTGCTTCGCCTGGGTCTGACCGTGGGCCGGACCGAAGTCCAGCTGCCCGCTGCCTCGGGGCCCTCACCTGCTCCGCAGGCCGCAGGGAGCCCGCCGGTCCGCTTCCAGCCGGGGCAGCAGGCGTAGCGAGGCCTGGCCGGGGTCGGCCCGGGGCTGCGGCGGTAGGCAGTCCTGTAGATGGTCCTGTGGCGGGGGTGGGGGCCGCTCAGAGAGGCCCGGCCCTCACTCACGGGGTGGCCTCCCCGGGGGCCCCCAGGTCTCCGGCACCCAGGCCAGGCTTTCCGCAGACACGCCGCGCCGGCCGGGACACCCCTGCCCTCCCCATGCGCCTGCCTCCAGAGCCACACAGACGGTCTCCCCCAGAGGGGACACGTCACCCAAATGTATCCCCAGAGATCCCCTTCCCCCAGGGACACTGCCCGCGAGGCGCTGTGGTGCTGAGTGGGACCCCAGGGCTCGGCAGGAGCCCCGGCTCCGCCTGCATGGAGCAGGGGGGTGTGGGATCCAGGCGTGCCGGCCGGTAGGGACGGGGCACCCGGGTCCCCCCAGTTTGCCGAGGGTGCTCTGCCAGGCCACGGCTGCCCACCCCGCCCCTCAGGAGCCCCCGGGAGCTGGACCCCGGGGCCCCCTCGGCAGGCGGGACTCCCCTGTGGGGCTGCAGTCACAGCCCGCTCCCTGCTTGGCTCACGGGCTCGGCGGGGGTGCGTTTCCCAGTGCTCTGGCCAAAGAAGGCGACCGAGTGGCCGCCGCAGGGACAAGGACCCGTCCCGGCATCCCCAGCCCAACCCCACCCGTGCCGGTCCCCACCCCTGCCAGGAGGTCTTGGAGGAGACGCCAAAAACAAAACGCTTTCAAGGCCCACGTCCACGGCTGAGGGCCGGAGACGCATGCCCTTCCCAGGGACACAGGCTGCAGGGACACCCTGGCCAGGGATGGGGGCAGGGCCTCCCTCTGCGACCATCGGGGCTACAGGGGGGACCCGGGCGATGGAGGCAGGCAGCGTCCCGGGGGGCGGGACCTGTAGCCAGTGATGCCCACAATGGTGGGGGGGGGTGGACCGGACGGAGGACCCCCCTGCAAACGAGGTGGGGAGCAGGGGAGCGAGGAGGGGTGCCCGAGGTCGCCGCGGCACCATCACGTCCGCGTTCACACAGGCGGCAGGCAGTCTCTGCCCCCGGCTCGGGCGTGGCCTCGGTCTCCCATTTTGGGGTGAACTGCCCCCCCGCCCCCCAGGCCCCGGAGCCCACGCGCGGCGGCCGCGGCCGTGGCATCTCACCGGTACGTGCTGCAGACGCGGGGCCCCTCGCAGGTGGTGAGGAAGGGCTGGTACACGCGCTGCGCGAAGGACTCGGACACGGGGCCCTGGGGAGCCCCGAGGGCACACACCCTGCGCCTGGGGGAGGGGGCAGCGAGTCAGCCGGGGGACCCCCGGAGCCGGGCCCTCCCAGCGCCAGCACCCAAGGAAGCTGAGAACCTGGGGGAGGGGCTTCCCAGGGTCACCGGGGGAAGGGCTCTCAGCAGCAGCCCCCGAACGTTTGGGGGTGCTGCCCTGGGGCGGGGGTGGGGGGCTCACCCGGGCCTGTAGACGTGCTCCGTGCCGCCCGCCGCCGGCACCAGGACCCACAGCAGGAGCAGCTCCCGGCAGCCCCACATGGCCCGTGTCTCCCGGTGGCCCGGCCTTCTCCTCAGGGTGGTGGCCTGGAACCCAAGGTGTGGCCTGGAGGTCCCGCTGCGTGTCCCCACCAAGCCCCTAGGGGGGACTGTCCCCTTGCCTCGGCCTCCTGTCGGCGGGAGAGCGCCCAGTTCCTCGCCAGCCACGTGAGGCCCTCGGGGCGCCACGGCAAAGCAACACCCGGGGCCCAGGAATGGACGCCAGCACCTGGCTCAGGGCCAGGTGCCCAGACCCCACTGGGCTCCACTGTGTGGACACGGAACGTGTCCGAGGCTGCAGGGCGGTCCCTGGGGTGGGGGGGGGTGGGGCCCAGGGCACACTCAGGGACCAGTGTGCCCTCCCCAGCAGGGTTCGTTGTCCCCTCACCAGCACAGGGCAAGGGCATGCTGGCGCCCCAATCTCAGTCTGCAAACGGGGGTGAGTGGGCAGAGCTGGAACCTGGCCCAGCTGGCTGTGCCCTTTTGGCCTCTAGTGTCCTCCAACGGGGCCCTGGGCATTGTGGGAGTCCTCCTGGGCGGCTACGGGCCCCCCAGACCCACAGGACGACGTTCCGGCCCTCGGAGGGCGGGGGCCTGCGTTTCGGAGGGGGACTCCTTTGCTAGGACTGAACCGGTCTGTAGTGTTGAGCAGACAGCCTCCAGGGCTCCCAGACTGGCCCGCTGGGCACCCACTCACCTGGTGGGGGACAGGGGCAGCCTCCCTCACCCCCCCCACAAAAGAGGGGCTCATGGCCACCCACGTCTGGTTGGGGGCCGGAGCCAGGGGGCTTGGAGAGGACGCCTGGGAACTGGAGCAACCGGGGCCTGAATTAATGGTCTGTAACCAGCCCGGGAGACGGGAGGGGCGGTCGGCACGGGCTGGGGGCTCGGGGCGATGCCGTCCATCTGTGCAGCCAGGGCCCCCTATCCTGGGTGCCCCACCTGAGGCCTCCAAGGGGCCAGGGACCCCCCCCCCACCCCGTGGGCTGTCCTGGGCCCTGCAGGGCCCCCCGTAGGAAAAGGCACTGGAAGGGGCTGAAGCGTGTGTGTGTGTGTGTGTGTGTGTGTGTGTGTGTGTGTGTGTGTCGTCTCCTTGGGGACCTGGTTTCCTCAAAGACGCCCCCGGGACGCAGAGGGAGGGTGCTCCTCCGGCTCTGGCGGTCAGTCCCGAGAACAGGGACCACGGGAGCAGTGACTGGGCCCTCCACGCCCACCGGTGGTATGGTCACTCCGCTGGGAGCCCACTCCAAGCTCGTGCCCGCCTGGGCAGGGTCCTTCCTGCACCTCCTGGTCTCTGTGGGGCACCAGGGCGGGGGAGGAGGGGGCACTGGAGGTGTCAGGACTGAGTTTGGGGTGCGTGGGGCTTCTCAGACTTTCTGGGCAGGGGCCGGAGCGGTGGGAAGCTGAACTTCGGGGTGGACCCTGGGGGCGGGCCTGCGGCTGCAGCACCCACCCTCCTGATTCGAGCTGTTCGGCGAGGGTCACGCTGTTCCCCGAGGCTGGAGGAAGCTGATGGCGCCGCCCGGCCTGTGCTGGGCTGGCAGAATCTCATTTCCCTTTGGTGCCGCAGCCCTGCTGGGGCCGGAGCGCCAGGGCAGGGGTGGCCCCGAGCCTCCGAGTCCGCAACCAATAGCGTCCCGTCCCCTCCGAGTGTCTGCGGGAACCCTGCCCACCGCCTCGCCTCCCACCTGTCTGGCCCAGGTCCCTAAGCCCCTACCAGGGGGGGCTGGGTCCTGACTCTGCCACTGTCTGATGGTCCTGGGTTCCCCCTTCCACCAGAGGGATGTTCTGCACGGCAGGACCCACGGAGAGTGGGGGACGAAGAGGCACCGTGAGGCGACAAGACTGACTCACGCACGGGACATGCCCTCTCTAGCGCCCGTCCCCCGCCTCCCCTTCGCCCCGCACCGCCGGCTTCGTGAGCCGTGGCAGTGAGGGCGGAGTGACACCCTCCGCCCCGCAGACGGCCCAGTGGCCTGGGCTGTGGGGTGCGGGGCCTGCGAGGCCCAGAGTCAGGCCCCGGAGGACTCTCGGGGTCCAGATGCGGGATGAGGGGCGGCGGCGTCCCCACCCCGGCCCCCCGCGCGGCCGGGCTTGGCGCGGCGCGGGGCGCCCGTCGCCGGCAGGGGGCGCGCTTCCCCCAGGCCGCTGGGCCCATTCTGCAGAACGAGCCGCAGGACCCGAGGCCGAGCCGGGGGTCGGCTTTCCGAGCGGCGGCGCTCGGCACCCCGGCCCGCTCGCCACTCAGCTCCCCACCGTCACTCGGCAGTCGGCCCCCAGCGTCGCGCGCGGCGATGTCCCCGGCCCTCCCCGCCGCCGTTCCCAGCCCGAACGGCGATCGGCCTCCGCCCGCGGCATTCCCCGCACCCCCAGCCCGGCGCCGCGCTCCCTCCGCACTCACCGCCCGATCCGGGCGCGCACGCGCCGCCACCGCCGCCGCTGCCGCCACCGCGCCGAGGGGCCCCGGCCCCGCCCCGGCCCGGCCCCGCCCCACCTGGCCCTCCCGGCCCCGCCCCCGCCCCGGGGTGGGCTCGGAGCCCCAGGCCCGCCCTCCTGCCCCATTGCGCGGATGGAGAAACTGAGGTCCGGTAGTGGATGGTGCCCCGGGGCCGGGCAATGAGTCGCCTAGAATCGGGACCTCTGAGCGCCGCCGCCCCTCCAGAGCCCGCTGAGTTCCCACCGCCGGGCGCATTGCTTCGGGGGGACACAGGACTGGGGTGCAGGTCAGGGGCCGCGTGGGCGGCTACACTGGCCAGGGCTGGCTGGCTCTCGACGCCCCCCCAACCTCGCCCCAGGCTGAGCACCGACTGCAAGGGACAGCGAGCGCAGCCGGGGGCCAGTTCCCTGGGCTAAAGCTGGGGGTGCTCTGCAGCCCCGCGCGGGGTGGGCGCCATACAGCCCCCAGACCCCTTGTTCCCTCGAAACCACGCGCTGGGTCCTGGTGTGGCACCAAGCCTGCAGCCCGCCCAGGGTGCCTGGTGGCGTCCTCTTTGTTCAGGGCACTAACGACCACCTCCCAGCGCTCCCAGGCCCCCAGCGGGCTCTCCGGGACCCCACCGTCACTGCTGGGACTGCTGGCGGTCTTTCCTCCTTGGCTCCACCCACACACTTGTAAGGTGGGTTACAGCGCCCTCAGGTGGCAGAGCGGCCAGGAGCAGCAGTGCCGGCTGCGAGACGGTGGCCCCCCGGGCTGGAGCCAGGCGCGCCCCACCTGGGCACTGGGGCCACCTGGGGCACTTGGGGGCCCTGACTATCACAGCCATCACACTGTGCAGGAGGCTCTGGGCCTGTGCCCGCCGCAGCGTCCGCCCTCAAACTCCAGCCCGGGCCCGGCCGCCCGAGAGTGAGTGTGCGTGGAAGGCACGCCCGGGCTGCTTGGGACCCCCGCTGCTGCCCAGGGCCCCCGGGGCTTGCTGTGGCACTCACCTGGAGAAGGGGGCTCCGTCATGCCCCAGACACTGGTGGCAGCTGCTCTTCTGGGCGGTGGTGCCCCCCCGAGTCCCCCCTGTGCCGGGCTCTGCGGGTCAGAGACAGGGCGAGGGTCAGGGCACGGCCTCGGTCAGTGCTACGCCTGGGGCTGTGGGGGGGGGGGCAGGGCGGCCTGTGAGCTGCTGTGGGACCTTGGCCGCACTTGGTCTGCGGACCCCCACCTCCCGACAGCCCACGCTGGAGGGGCCTCCCAGGTCTGCCCGAGGCTCACAGCCTCCACTCAGAGGCAGGCAAGGTTTCCCATCTGTCCAGTGGGCCGTTGCCTCCTGCCCTGGGGTCCCCAGGGACGGCCGGGGACGGGGACAGACGTGTAGAGATGTTCAGGCAGCCCAAAGTCTCTGCAAAGCCGGGAGTTGGGTGAGGGCCCTGCGGGGTCCCCAGGAGGGAAGGGCTTCTGGTGCGGCCAGCAGCTGTGGGGCACTGGCGCAGGCCTCCTTGGTGCCTGGGAGTTGAGGGGCACCCAGCGAGCTGGACGGGAGCCCCCCGAAAGAGGCTTCTCCTTCCTGCCCTTCAGCGGCCACTGTCCTGGCCAGGATGGGGGGGCCCTGCACCCGGCCACAGGTCGCCTGGCCCCCAAACCCAAGCGGAGCAGCTCTGGCCCAGCCACGGTCCAGCCCCAGGCAGTAAAGGGTTAAGCGCTGGGCGGAGGGGAGCTCTGAGAGAGACTTTCCGGGCCCTGTCTCCTGCCCCCAGCCTGCCCCTGAGGCTGCCGGTCACTTGACCCTTTGACCTCCTGCCCGAGCAGAGAGGGCAGCCTGGGCAGCTGGGCCAGCTCGTGCTCACCCCGCCTGCCGCCTGCTTCTCCTCTGAGACCTCGGCTGTTCCCAGGGCTGCGGGTGGCCAGGGCAGCGGAGGCGCCCGCTCCTGCTTGGGCGTTTGGGGGGGACTTGGGCACCCCTGGGTGGGGCGGAGAGAGGGAGAACTGGGCCTTCCCTGGGGTCCAAGGCGGGCCGACAAAGGGCCCGCACCACACTCAACCAAGCCGTCCCTCTGCCTGAGGACCCCCGCGTCCAGGCCACTGGAGTGGGGTGCGGGGGCTCCCCCAAGTCCCACACTCAGGACCCCCAAAGTTCATAGCTGTTCCTGGCTGCAGATGTAGGTTTGGGGTCCCCGTCCCCCCAGGGAGTGCCCGAGCACCCTTGGGGGACGCCCGGGTCCGAGGAGAGGCCGGAGGGAGGGGAGCCGGCAGAAGGGAGGCAGCCCCACGTGCCCGCTCCTTCCAGGGGTCACAGCGGCTGCCAGGCCACCCGGGGTCAGTGTGGGAGCCGGTCAGGCCACTCCGCCGTCCAGGCCGGGCCACCCACCAGGCTGGGCACCTGAGCCAGGGGGCCTGGGCGCCCTCTGTGCGGTGGGGACGGCGCCCATAGGGGGACAATGCCGTGGCACTGGAGAGCTCAGACAACAGGGTCCCTGGTCAGCGGGGGCCGAGGGCCCCCACCCGATCTGCCTGCCCCCTGCCCGTCCAAGGCGCCCCCGCCGTACCTGCTGCTGCCCCGGCCCCCCGGCTGGGCCATGGCCACCGCCGCTGCCTCCTCAGCCGGGGCCGACCCTGCCCCTCGCCGGCCGCCCCCAGGCTCCTCCTGAGGCTGCCCAAGGGCCGGTCCCCCGGAGCCTCCATCCCGGCCGTGCATGCTGGACAGCGGCTCGGGGCAGGGAGGCTCCTCCCGGGCGAGGAAGGGCGGCTTTTTATGCTCCGTCCCGTGTAAATCGGGACTGGGATGGGCCCTTCCCGGCCGGACTTCCTGTGTGTGTTCCCCGCTGATAACGGGGGCTGTCAGAGCACAAACAGGAGGCCGAGGCCCGGTGGGGGGCCGGCGGGGGAGGGGCCCGGTCGGGCCGCAGGGGAGGGGGTGGGGGACCTGTCCCCCGGGCTCCGAAGTCTAACCCCGAAGCAGCCAGAGACCAGGCTCCAGACAGCCACAGCCCGGCTGGTGACCCCGGGACCCGCTGGCCCCGGGTGTGAGGGAGGACATGCTGGCGCCAGGGCCTCCCCAGGGCTGCACGGACAGGACCCTTGGTTCTGTCACCCCCTCCCCCCAGGGTGTGCAGCAGCACCTCGAAGTGTGTGCTGGGGCAGGAGCCCCGCCAGACGAGCCCCAGGGGCTGGGCATGGGGGCCGGGTTCAGAACAGCCTGCTCTGTGGCTCCTGGAGCCCCGAGTGGCCCGGGCAGGGGCAGCAGGGGCGGGAGTCCGCTCGGGGCCTTGTCTGGGACTGGAGCTGCCTCCCTGGGAAGGGCTGCCCAAGGGGCAGCGGCCCCGCGCCTGGAGCTGTGCTGGCGGGCGGGAGCCCCTGTGTGCCCCGGCCTCCCCTGCGCCCGGCCTCCAGCAGGCTGAGGGATGCAGGGGTGGGGGTGGAGGAATGCAGGAGCCTTTAGGTGGCCAAAGAGGGTGTTTCCTCAGACAGGCGGGCAGTCCAGCCCCCAGTCTGGCCCTCAGGTCCCTCATTCAGGAGGTGCCGTGCTGGGGCTCAGGGGCTGAGATTCAGCAACTGTCAGAGTGGGTGACCGGTGTCCGGGCGCAGCCGGGCTGCTGCTGAGGAGCTGCCCAGACCACACGGCCCGCGGAGGGCCAGACCAGAGAGTGGCCGTCCTTGGGCACCGGCCCTGCTCCAGGGTCAGCCCCGCCCGCCCGCGGCCTGGCCTTGAGCCCCTCCGCGGCCCTCACCTCCCTCGGGCCCCACCCAGCTGAGGTCCTGGCCTGGAGGGGGCGGGAGCCGTCTGGGAAACTCCCCACTGGGGTGCTGACGGTGGGAGGGGGTCTCAGCCGTGCTTGGCAGGTCTCAGCAGTCCGCAGGGACCTGCTCCCCCGCCCCTACCCCACCCGTGTGGCCGGGAAGGGTAAGTGCGGGTGGGGGCCTGCAGCCGGGCCCGGGGCCTTCCCCTCTCGGGACCAGAGGGGTGCCAGCCACTGGGGCTGTGGCGACAGCCCAGGCTCCTGGGACTTAGGCGTCATTGGCCTGAGTGGCAAGTTGGCCCCAGGGCCTCTTTGTCCCGGTGCCCCTCCCGCCCCCCAGCCCACAGGGGCCGTACTCTGGGCATCCCCCGCCTCACTCAGACCCCGTGCTCTCCCACCTGAGGGCCCGCGTGCCCACAAGGCCGGGCTGTCCTGCCAAGGGGACTCCCTGAAGCACAGGGCCATCTGGGCTTTACCCCACCCCCGCCCCCTGCCAGGAGGTGCTCCCACGGCCCAGACCCCCCAAGGCCCTGGTGGGAAAATGAGCAGACTTCAGGACTGGCTGCATCCAGCCCCTCCTGTGTACTGACGGGGGAACTGAGACCCAGAAAGGGGAGTCAGGGCCAGGGGAGGGGGGAGGTGTGGAGCCAGGGATGGTTCAGCCCCTCCCCCTCGCCCCGCCTGTTCTCCGTGAACCCCTAGTGCCTGCCCAGCTGTCAGACTGGCCCCTGCCAGGACGGGCCGAGGCTGGGAGTAGCCGATTAGCCAGATGAGTGAGTGGGTTCATGCATCCCCCCACCCCCCGCAAGGCTGGGCACTTAGGAAACTTTCTGGGAAGGTGCCCGGCCCTCGGTGTGGACCCAGGCACGGAGGGGAGAAGGCGGAGGGAGGGCCCTGCAGGGCCCGGTCTCCCAGCCCCCGCTCCTGGGTGCCAACTCCCCCTGCCCCGGCTGCTCGATTGGTTTGGGGGTGCCCACTGCTCCGTGACCCACTCCTCACAGCCTCTGTCCTGCCCCGGCCCCTCCCTGGACCAAGACCAGACCCAACCCAAGGACAGGAGGCCCTGGCTGAGGCCCGCCAGCCCCAGCCTCGCCCGTCCAGTTGCCCCAAACCCACCCGGCACCCTGCTTGGGCTGGGGCCCTGCCCCTGCTGGGGTGTGTCAGGGACAGGTAGGGCCTGTGTGTGCAGGCCAGGGACAGAGACGGGTGACAGCTGACACCCTTGCAGGCTGCAGGAGGGGCCTGGGGGGCCAGGGACCAGTAAGTGTCACTTTCTGCCCCGTGAGGCCCCCGGGGCACTGGGGCCAAGTTCACTCTGTGCTTGGGGCTGGAGAGGCCCCCTCGGGGGCAGGAGGACCACCCCCACCCCCGCCCCCACCCCCACCCCCAATGGCATCTGTTCGGGGTTATGGAGCACGCAGCCTGCTCCCTGGGAGTCCATCCCCAGGCCTGCGTCCCCAGAGGGCGACGCGACCCGCCTCCCAGACCCAACCCAGAGCTGGCCACTGGGTGGAATTGGTCAGTGACCCCCAGGAGGTCCAGGCCGTCCACACCCGAGTGGTTGGGAGGCCTGGCCCGAGCCCCACGGGCTGCGGGCGTAGCACCCAAGGTGGGGGCCCTGGCACTTTGGCGTTGGCTTTGCTTCCGTTGCTGAAGGCCCTGCCCACCCCGGGCCTCAGTTTCCCCACCTGTCCCCTGGTCAGCAGAGCCAGGCCGTGACGGCTCCCTCCCAGCTGCCGGGGAAGTCGGGTCGGAAAGGGGGCTGAGCTGCCTTACCTCCCCAGGGTGTGCTGATCAGGGGTCCTCGGGGCCTCCGGGGGTCTCCCACAACCCTCCCGGGACCCCTCACTGCAGAGCGTTCGGCCTCTGCAGCCCCGGAACAGGGTGGACCGAGCCCCCGCCAGAGGCCCACGCGGGCATCCCCGGCGGCGAGAGGCAGGCAGAGGGGCCCCGGGCGCGTGTGAGCCGGGCCGAGGCGAGGAGAGCACGGAGGAGCGCGGCGCAGCGCTGGGGAGAGATGAGCTTCCTGTTTATCACCCGGCGCCGCCGGGCTCGGGGACAGGATGGCCCTGTCAGCCACGGTGGGGCCCAGCTTCACACCAGATGTGGCTGAAGCCGCGTGGAGGGACGGCCTGGCCCGGTGACCCGTCCCAGTGGGGGCTGTGGGGGGTGGCGGGGCTCCAGCACCCCGGGGCCAAGTGAGCTGCCCACACTGAGCAGGGCCAGGCCCAAAGGGAACAGGTTCTGGGGGGGCACAGGGTCCCTCCGGGGGCCTGGGGTCTTCAGCTCTCTCCCCTCCCCTCCCCTCCCCCAGGTCTGTTAGCAGAGCCCCGGGGTGGTGCCCCACAGGGCCCTCAGGGACTGAACTGGAGCTGAGAAGTGCCCATCGTTAGACAGTGTGACAGAGACCCACAGGACAAGGTGCTTGTCCAGGGTGGGGCGGTGGGGGCCTGGGCCGGGGGAGACCCTCAGGGCCCCCCCCTTCTGCTCGCTGTCCCCGCACCCCCGCCGTGCGTCCCAGGACTGCCCACGGAGGCCCAGGATACAGCCGTCCCCCCGGCCCCCGCCCCACCCTTGGTTCCCAGAAGGTCCCTGTGGGCTCTGCGTCCAGAACTCGCCCCTCCTGCCTCTGTCCCGTCCTGATCGGGGCCACCACACCTCCCTCCCGAATGACCTCCTCCCCGGCCTGGTGGGCACCCTGCCACCACCCCAGTAGTCAGGGAGCTTTGTGAAGGGTGACAACGGTCCTCTTGGGACACCCCTGCCTCAGCTTCCCCAGGGCTCCCCACGGCACCCAGACTGAGCCCGGCCCCTCACGGAGCACCCACAGCATCAGCCCCACAGAGGGGACAGGGCCGGTCCCCGGCTGGCGGCCGGCTGCCCTGCGCTGGGACAGAGTCAACACCGTGCAGGTGCACAGAGGGCGGGCCCAGATGGGCACCCACACCCAGGGGCGGCGGGCAACCCTGCTCCGCCACAAGACTTCGCAGGGACACGCACGGCCGCGGACGTTCAGGTGTGGAGCCCGCCTGTGTAAGCGGCTCTCGGCCGAGACAGGGCCCTGCGCACACCCCAGGACCCTCCTCCCCCACCCTGTTCGTTATGCCTGGGTTGAGGTTTAAGTCCCTGGGGTCCCTCGGTGCCTGCGCTGCCCGATGGCAGGCCTGGGAGACCGTCTGTGCTGTTGTGACTTCCGGCTGCGGTCCGTCCCCGGGAAGGAGGGACCACACGCATGCCCACACTGCTGCTGGCTTTGAGTCTCACTGGCGGGGCTGCTGTGGGTGTGTGAGTGCCAGCCTCCTGGCAGACACACACACGTGAGTGTGCTTCTCTCAGCCACCTGCGCAGGGGGCTGTCCAGGGCATCACCAGCCCCGGAGAGGCACAAACCCCGCACTGCCCGGAAGCTCCCCAACTCGCCCCGCCAGCAGGGTGGGCGCATCCGGCTGCCCCATGCCCTCGCCAACACTTGCTATTGTCCATTTCGTCACTTAAGCCATTTTGATAACTTTGCAGTGGGATGCAGAGAGATGAAAAAAATCTTCATTTTCAAACCACAGACTCCTTCCTGCGGGAAGCACTCGAAGGGGACGCCCGGTGGGGGTGAGGGCGGGCAGGGACCCTCGGGGACCCGGAGAGGCCCGAGCTGTGGGCTCCATGAGCAACTTGGGCCCAAGAGATCTGGGCAGTGAGGAGAGAAGGGGCCCCGGCCGGGTGGTGCTCGGCCCCCTGGGGTCAGTCCCCTGGTGTGATTTCTGCTGTGGGTGGGCAGTGCGTCCCTGGTCCCCAACCCCCCCTGGAAATGTTCGTCTCCAGAGCTGTGGGCCGGGTCCCGGGCAGAGTGCTGACTGGGCTCGTGGAAGTGGCCACGGGGCAAGTGCTTCCCGGGTGGTCTGGCCCATGGCCTCGGGGGGCCTCTCTGAGCAGGGGCAGCCACCCCCGGGCCCAGCCCCCCACCCCTGTCACTTGTCCCAGTTCCCGGCTTCATCTGCGG